TGCCCCAAGAAAGCAACCTCCTTCAACCAAAACTCGCATTTGGATAACTTGGCATATAACTTTCTTGCACGCAATATGTTTAATATTACATGCAAATGTTTTGCATGCGTCTTTTTATCTGGGGAATAGACCAAGATATCGTCAATAAATACCACCACAAACTGATCGAGGTATGGTTGAAAAATTCTATTCATCAACTCCATAAACGCAGCCGGGGCGTTAGTCAACCCAAAGGACATAACCGTGAATTCATAATGCCCGTATCTAGTCCGAAAAGCTGTCTTCGGAATGTCATGCTCTGCAATCCTTAGCTGATGATATCCAGATCTCAAGTCAATCTTTGAGAATATAGTTGCACCTCCCAGTTGATCAAATAGATCATCAATCCTCGGAAGAGGATATTTGTTCTTCACCGTGACTTTGTTCAGTCCACGGTAGTCAATACATAACCTCAAACTTCCATCCTTCTTTTTCACAAATAAAACTGGAGCTCCCCAAGGCGATGTACTAGGCCGAATGTAACCCTTATCTAGCAATTCCTGTAGTTGCAATTTAAGTTCAGCTAGTTCTAAAGGTGCCATCCGGTATGGAGCCCTTGATACTGGCTCAGCACCCGGCACAATATCAATAGTAAAATCCACCTCACGAGCTGGTGGCATACCCGGAATGTCATCAGGAAATACATCAGGAAAATTTCGGACCACAGGAATATCTTGCAATCGCTGCTCCCCTTGCGTCAAATCTTTTACCTCACACAGATATACTGGAAACCCCTTACGAATAAATGATTGAAATGATAGGGATGAAATTACCTTCATAAAAGGTTGTCTGGCAGATCCTGCATAATTCACCAGTTCGCCCATCGCTCCAACCAGCGAAATTGATCTTTTTCGACAATCAAATTGAGCTTGATATGCCACTAACCAATCCATCCCCAATATTACATCGAACTCGGATAGCTTGATGCCCAACAAGTTAGTAACAAAATCAACCCCTTCAATACTAACCGGAATCTGCATATAAAGCTCTCGGTATTCCAGCACTTCTCCTGATGGAAGTAAAACTTCCACTACCACTTCTACTGATGAATTCAGACCCAATCGTCTAACTAGACGCTTAGATATGAACGAGAACGTTGCACCCGAATCGAATAACACAAGAGCAGGAAAACCGCAAACCAGAAATCTACCCGTTAAAACCTCACCTGGATGATAATCAGCTTCTGCTTGGGTAAGAACATTTATTCGACCACGCTGGTCAGGTCCTCTGCCTGGCTGCCTAGATGACGAACGTGACTGACTTCGTCCCCCTCGCCAAGATGATCCTAATCCTCTCCCTTGTGACTGCGAAGACGGCGGCTGCCATGGCCTAAACCTTGGTTCTGGAAACTCCCTTGCAGTTACCACACTTGGACATAACCTGGCAATGTGACCACTACCACCACATTTAAAACATGTCAATGGAACTTTATCACAACGAGTACCTGGGTGGCTTGTTCCACAACGCCGACAAACAGCCCCCGATTGCTGAGACCTCTCCTGACTCGGTTCATTAATCGAAATCCCCTTATACGATGGCCCAGACCTGAACATTTGCCACCATTTCTTTTTACCCTTGGGTTCATCCTCCACTTTAGCTTTTCCCTTATCTCGAACCTGATGTTGATAACCTATTTCCTTCTCACTCTCCTTTTGTCTGACTTCCTGCTTCTGATAAAATCGGGCAGCACGCTCGTAAGCCTCATACAATGAACTGATATCCAACACCGCTAAAGCTTCTTGAATTCTGTGTTGCAACCCGTCTACAAAATGGTCAATTCTGTCTCGCTCACAGGAAAAGTAGTCAGGAACATACATCTCCAACTCATTAAACTTCACAAAATAATCCTCAACTGACATCGAGCCCTGCTTTAAGTCCAGCAATTCTTGCTTCTTCGCTTTTCGAATATGCGACGGTATAAACCTAGCCTTTAACTTTGCTTTAAATTCATCCCAAGTCATATCCACTTGGTCTACACCTGCAGCTTCTTCACCTAACCACCACCGATTTGCTCGGCCTTCCAAGAAATAGGCTCCAATATTAACTCGTTGATCTGGCGGAACCTGAACAACACGAAATATCTTTTCCATCTTTTCAACCCAAAACTCAAGGACTCCTGGCTCCACTGAACCAGAATATGTTGGTGGGTTATGCCGCATCACAGCATCAATGAAACTCCTCTGTTGAGGCATCATCGCGGCCATAAACTGCCAAAAGAAATCCTGACTAGGTGCCTCTGTTGGTACATGCGCTGGCACAGGATACTGTGACTCATCTGACGAAGGATCAAACTCTGGGCCTTGAATAGCCCTACGTACACCACCACCTCGAGAATTCGACATACTGCCCCCAATTTTTCCTGATTCAATATCAATTCAGCACACAGCTAAACCAAGCATAACAATAAAAGATAGATCACATTAACATGAATGCACCCGCAAAACCCAAACCTCACCAAACCAATTCAATATCATTATTATTTTCAAAACCTTTTTAATTCAAAGAGCCAAAATCTATCAAACCTAGGCTCTGATACCAACTTGTAACACCCCCAGTTGGCTCATACTGGAAATGCTACCGCCACACTGCATCATGAGGTCGTCACCTCCTACTTCGGGCCCCACAACACAGTGTTAAGGCTAAAATTAATTATATAAGCATTTTATTATTCCCAAAAAAACAAGTTTATAAATATTTACAAAAACATACTCCCAAAACGGGAGGTTTTTCTAGTTAGAATTTACATATAATACATCAGATGCAGTTCACTCATTCAGCCCGTCTTTCTATCTCCCGAGACGTCCCCTGTCCCGGAGGTGCCATGCGTACCTGAATCAAATATTTTTCTTAAAAGCAGTCTAGAATTAAATCCATTTTAAGAACTAACATAAAATATGCCATGTCATGCTCGAAAATAGAGTTTAATTTCCGTCATTTGCAAAATAAATGTCATGCCATGCCCATACTGAAATAATGTAACAATAATGTCAAAATCGACAACTCATGCACATATACCCATATACATATGTCAAAGTGAGCAGCCGGAATAACCTCGGCTCCATAATAACAGCTCACTAGACTATCATCAATAAATAGCCGGAAAATCCTCGGCTCAAGGAAGGACCTGGTAAACCCATAATAATATAACGGTCACCCGGTCACTTCCATATACCCACCATACGACTCCCGCAATCAATACATGGATAGTCGAACGTTGTCGCCATTAACCACAAGACACCCCATAGTCTGTGATAGCGAAGATAGGACCCTCCTGTCTAGCCCTACCCCGTGTAACGTAGTAGAATCCGTGCAACCTGGAATCACCCGAAGGAAACCCGGAAACTCTACTCCTCCTCGCACGCCCTAACGGGATCGCGTTTGGAGTTTGGCATATGATCCTAAACTACCGGTAGACCTCACTAGTAGCTACTCCAATGAGTGGAACAACACCGAACCCGAATGATTAGACCAAATACGTCTCAACTGCAATGGGTCTAATCCCTGAATGACCGTGCGACTAAGTCACCCAGTTGTCCGACTACTATCGTCCACTATCGCCAAAGTGTTACGGTACATCGGGGTCGAATATCCTAACCCCAGATGATGCCCTCGCCTAGCACTACCGCACACGGCGACTAAACGATAGATCCATAAAACATACCCGATAAATCGTGCAATGTGTGCAGCATGTCAATAAGTGAATTTAATGAAAAGGGCTGGTGAGACGGCCCACCTATCCTCCTTTTTATAAATTCACCAACACGATCAAATACGTATATCAAATATCGTAAAACGAAGTTTCACACATGCATATACACACACATATATACATATATAGATGCACTGACCAAATGATTCCACATAATATCATATCAATATCAGAATCAGAATCACATGCAACATAAATACCTAATTTCTTAAAATTAGATTTAATTCCCTACTGCTTACCTCCTACCGATACTTTCTGGATTTTATAACTTCATCCAAATCTCCTCTAACGTACACCTGTCCCATTATTTACTCAAATCAGATGAGCTTTATGCTTATTCTCAGGAGCTACCTGCTTATTCAAAAGCTAATTTCTATAATTAACTCGTCGGGCTCCAAACTTTTATATTTAGTAGAATATGATATTCTAGCTATAAAATCCTTCTACCTCATAATATTTATATTGCCCGATTATTAAATAAAAATACGCAAAGGTATGAACAAGCAGGCAGGTGCAATATACTGCCGTTTTTTATTCGACTTGGATTGGTACGAAATTCTCAAAATATAACGTCGGCGCTACGAATAGGCTATTAGCTAAAGAAATTCATCGATTAAATAGCTAAATAGCCAATTTTGAATTTTTGAAGAATTTCTAATTTAATATTCCCAATATTGAAATTCATATTAAAATCCATAATTAAATTCTACGTATAACAAGGAATACAATACCGAAGTCGGAATCGAAATCGAATGGCTAAATCTTTTTCTTTCTTCTTTTCTTTTTCTCCTTTCTTCTCCTTCACGTTTCTTCCTCTGCCTTCCTTCGCTTCGCAGGTAAGTTTGCTTGTTTTATATATATAATTATATTATTATTATATATATATATTATATACATTATATTATATTATATTATATTATATTATTATTATTAGTGTTATTATTATTATAAATATTATCTTCATCATCATTACTTTTATTATTATATTATTATTATATATTTTATATTTATATTTATCGATATTTATCCATTTAACAGTCTATTTAATTATAACTAATATACAAAATTGGAATATAATTTATCCCAAAATATTAATTTCTTGATTCCATTACTATTGTTAAATATTTATTTGCTATAATAATATTATTTTATACATTCCGAAATCGGGGCATTACATCCCGACTCCAACATAGGTTGAACCAATAGGGTTATTGCAACTTGGACTAGCGCCGAAAGGTCAGCCAGTTCTAAGTCAGCAAAATCCAAATTGGCGCATCGTTCCACAATGGTTCTGACGGGAGTCGGGAGGTTTATTCGGGTCAAAATGTTCATCTCCTGAGCAGCCTGAACCAGAATAAGATTAGCAAGCTAAGCGATATGGTAAAATTTTTGAGAGATAAGGTTGGAAGGTTACTTGATTCAGGGCAGCCGTAGCCTCAGAAGGGGCCATAAGTTGGAAAATTGAGGGATTGACTGGTCGAATAGTTGGACCAGCAACTGATTCATCCCCTGGTGGAAGATGTTGGGCGTCTGCTAATTCCATACCCTGAACAAAAGACAAAAATTTTCAGCACCGTTGGATGGGCGAAAATTAAATTAAATGGATAAGAAAGGGTACCAACCGGATCCAGCGGGGCAAAATTAACGGAGGCTTCACCCGACTTTGAAGAGGAAATTTCCTCTACATCATGGGGTGGTTGGTCTGGTTGGATTGGTTCGGGTTGGACTGGTTCGGGAGCGGCAAGAGGAACCTCATCAACTTGCTGAACAAGCAGGTCGGGTAAAGCCACGACCTGGTCGGGTTCGGGTAATACCACATCTTCAATGGGTGCCTGATCCAAATAGGTTTTAGGTATCAGGAGTTTTATCAAAAGGACAACATTGAAAGAAGGTTTAGCGCTTACTTGTTGTGGTTCTGCAACTTGGTCGGGGAGGACAACAGGTTGGTCGGGCATCACTGCGACCATATCCGACGCTGGGGGAGGAAGTAGCCTTCCCATCGATTCGTCTGGTCGGTGTGCCTACAATAAAAGGTTTGAAGTTATTGTTTAAAATTAATATTTTGTTGGTCTAAGGAATGTCAGAAACCATTTTTACCTCTGATTGTCTGGGAGTCGGTTGTGTGGTGATCGGGACTATAGCTAGTTGTTCTGTGGTCCGGACCACAGATGGTTGTTCTTTGGTCGGGACGGCAGTTGATCGGAACGAAGATAGATTAATGGGAAGTTGTGCCTCGGGTGATTGATGATCAGTCGGTTGAGACATGGTCGGGCCAGTGGTCGGGAGCATTGAAGGATCTTCTGAAATAGACATATTGGAGTTAAAAAAAAAGGGGGCCGTACGAAAATGACATAGTGAAAGGAACAAAACTTACCAAATTGTTGCCTTAAATACTTTGGCATCCCACTAGTATCTATTGGCAGAGATGCCAAGTATTCCTCGATGGCCTGCCTATCGATAGCAGGAGTGGCCTTTGCTTTTTGTCTTTTTGTCTTTTTGCTCCCGACCCACTTGCCACAAGTACTTGCCTTTTCCTTCCTCTGACTGCCAGTCGGGGAGAGCCAAGAGCCAGAGCTGGGGGTGGAGCAAGTTTCCCGACCAGTTGATCAGTCGAAGGGACAAGTAAAGACCAAGTGGCCGACCACCAGGCGGGAAAATTTTCAGTTGTCGAAGGTTTTCGGCAGAAAGGGAGATATGAATTTGAGGTGATATAGTTGGTGAGTTGAGAAATATAGGTCGGGATGAGTTCTGGAATTACCAGACCCTCGGGGCTTTGAAATATGAGGTGAGGACTGGCTAATGGTCCTGGTATGCCCTGACAGCAACCAAATTGCCTCGACAAAAATTGAGGTTGGTAATTTTAAGTGTAAAATGATCTACGATTTTTCTTATCCGACCTCCTACTAGAAAAAAGAGATCGGGGTTTCATCGCGGCGTCCCAGGAAAAAATGTAGGTCGGGTGAGGGATAGGATCTGGGCGAGTTAAAGGATAAGTTGGGTCAGGATAAAGAAAGAAAAGATCGGTCGAATACTGCATTAAGGTTGTGTATACAAAAAAACGGGAATTGTTCCGATCTTCGGTCAAAATTTGGGTCATTATAGAATCAGAGGATTTTAGACAAGAAGAATTCGGGGTTAATCTGGCTAAGGCATAGCCAATAGACCTGTAAGGATTGGGAGAAATTGGGAGGCGACCAAAAAAGGCAGAGGGGAAGTATAGACGGAGCCACAATTCCAGGAACCAAAATGGTCCTGAGGCTGCAGTGTCCGCCTTTTTAGTATCCGTAAGACGGGAACTTACTCGAGTTAAACCTTCAAAGAGGTTGGCTAAAAATAAGGTGCCTAATGAAGTGAAGTGACCACATGCCAAATGGATGGCTAGGTCAATGTGAGTAGAAAGGACAAGTTTCGAAGGGGAAAGAATGATATATCTGTGAAAGAAAAGAAGAAAGGAATTTAAGTTCAAACATTCAAACTTTGGATATACAAAAGAAATTAAAAGGAAAAAGATATACCTGCATAGCCAAAAAAGGAGAAAGGCAGTGTGCTCCAACTCAGAAACAGGGGTATCCTCCTTACCCTGATATTTGTTAGCAAAGTATGTCCATCCTCTTTCTCTTTCAGGAAGCTTGGCCAGGGCCCAACCTTGATGGTTGGAGGGAAGTTCTTGATTTCCAAGAGAAACTAGAACAGGGTCTTCGCCTGTGATCGGCAAATGCGCAATCACTGCTACATCCATTAAGGTCGGTCCCACAGGACCTGAAGGGAGGAAAAAGGCACCTGTTTGCGAATGCCAAAAGGCCGCCATGGCCATCAAAACTTTATCGTGTAGATAGAGGGGTTGCGTCGAAAGAAGGATAGCTTTATCGATCCCTTGGGTTTCCAATTGGTTTTCAAATTGGGGAAGGAGCCTCGCGTACCATTTCTGATAAGCATCTTTTGGATCAGTCAAGTGAGTCTTGATACTGTCCAGAAGGCGCTCTGGTTTGAACGCTTCATTGTTAACGATAATGGGAGAAACTTGCACAATAACAGAGCTCATCCGCTCAGCATCTGCAGTGGTAGTGCAATAAGGGCGTATCGTAGGGGTAAGAACCTTGGAAGTCACAAGGGGTACTGAGGGTTCGGTTCCGTCGAAAGGAAGTGCAGGAACGTATTGGTTAGCCATTTACGCGACGATGAGAAAGATAGAAAGGAAGTAAAAACGAAGGAGGAAGCTATATGAGAGCAGAAAGGGTTTTTTAGAATCGTGAATGCGTAACTTTGAGAAGATGAAGGTAGGGTTTAACATAAACCCTTTGATTTGACGCAGCGCAGTATGATGATCACACTGTAACCCTAAAACGTCACGTCTTCCGTAGTTCGAGGAGTGACGTTTCGGCGGGAGGAGGCAAGTTGTTGAGCACTAAAAATGATGGATAGGTTTTTAGGGAATGGGCCTGCCAAGATTAGGTTGTTCGAAACGTCTAATGGGCTTTTGAAAGTCCAGGTAGGATTGCAGTAACCGGGTCGGATGAGCTTAAAGTCAGATGTTAAGATCAAACCTGGTCGGGTAAATCTCCAAGGTCGGATGGATGATGAGATTGGACCTGGTCGGGACCAAATAGTTCAGATGTTAAAGTCGGACCTAGTCAGGACAAAGTCCAAGGGTCGGATGTAAGAAAGTCGGACGGATGATGAGATTGGACCTGGTCGGGACTAAATAGTTCAGATAGTGAAGTCGGACCTAGTCGGGACAAATTCCAATGGTCGGGCGTAAGAAGGTCGGAACATTGAAGTCGGACCAAGTTCAAAGGTCAGGTAGTAAAAATAGTTATCCTGCAGGTCGGGTAAAAAACAGTTTTTGATAGTGGAGGGTAGTTTCAACTGGCGAGCGGTTTTCAAAGGTCGGACGTGATAGGACGGTTCTCATACGTGTCGATAGAAGAGAACTTTTTGGGAGTTAACAGCGGTTATGGTAACCGACCGGATAGCGGTTCGAACCGTATCTTCAAGGGGTTATTTAAAGATTCCGTACTGTATAGAGGGGGCATCTTCAATCGACATCAAATTCAAGAAAATTATTTTTGGGGATCACCACTTTATTTTCCAGTTTTTATTTTTATCTTATTTTATTTTATGTATTCTACAGTGTTTAGAGGTTTCTAATTTCAGTCACTCATCTATCAAATTCGGGAATATTTCTCTATTTTCGAATTTTACTTTTTATTGTTGAAAAACGCATCAACACATGTATTTTGAAAAATAATTTGCATAATTATTCAATAGTTATTATCATTACAAAAATAGTAAATATAACTGTTATTGAAAAGTTATTATCATTACAAAAATAGTAAATATAATTGTTATTGAAAATATGCAATAGTAATTGATAAATATATTCAAATATTTTATCCTTTAGTTATATTTTTTTTTGGGTTCATTTGATCGTAATATATTTTTCATAGTTATTGTAGTAATAGTGATCATACATTAATAAAAAATATACTCCCCTCGTTCACCGCTTATTCATCCGTTTACTTTTTGCATGTAAATTTTAATAAATTAATATTATATTGACATATGTTACAATTGATATATATAAAGACTATTATACCCGTAAACATTTATGATACTAAAAGAGTAATGATAGTACACAAATTTTACATTAACCCAATCCACTAATTAAGTATCTAACATAATTAACTATTAAATATAATTATAGTAATAAATTAAGTGTTGCCAAAATCAAATAATTACTCCAAATCCATCCAGCACCGGCTCAAACAATTAATTACTCATTATCCATCCAAAATGTGTCCAGCCAATTTCCAAGTCACAAGATTGTAAAAAAACAAAATAAAAAAATACCACACAAATATTAAAAATTCCCCCCAACCAAAATATATTATCCTTCCCAACAACTCAAACACATCACACATCACGCCAGACTTAGAGATGAAACAATAAATTTGTATACAACTTCAAATTACTGTTTTGACATTTTACAATTTTCCTCAAAGCTGAAATAAAATTTTACAATCACTGCACAATTTAGATTCTTGGCTTACCATCAGACATCCTTAGTAATACAATTCTCAAAATTCAGATGAGAAAAGTCATCACACAACTTACATCAATTCAAACTTGAATAACATCCTCACTTACAACTAGAAGGGGTATATCATTGAACATACATTAGTTTTGAAAATTTAGTACAGTGATTGAAACAACAAAATATATGCTAATATGCCAAGGAGTAAAGTTCCCATCCGGCTACAACTATGCTTGAACATTTGATACTATTGTCTTAAGTATAACACTCAAAGTATCTCTTACATATAAATTTAATTGTGGGTAGAACATCTAATTTTGCATCTTAAACATCTAATACACACACACACATATATTGTTGGGAACAAACAAGGGAAGATAGAGAAAGACAAATAGCAAGACACGGGAATTTAACGTGGTTTGATCTCACAACGTACCTACATCCACGATCCCAAAACGGGATAATCCACTAAAATATTTATTAAAATTTATTTAAGGACAAAATTGTAAAACCCTCATCACAACAACTCACCAAATCTAAAGAAGTTTGTTCTCATGTCTTAAAATATGACTCAAGGGGGTCAATTTATAGGAGTCAATGCCCCCACGTCTTTATCTCACTTCCTATATGGGATATGGGAAGTTACATAACAAATCCTCCCTTTCCCATAGTCTCACATATTTCGACCATGTCAGAAAAACGAACTCTCTTCTCGATTTTCTGATTCTTCATATTATTGTTGCTATCCACATTTACTTGCAAGGCGCATCCATCTAGATAATAGATGTTGTTTTGTTTCTTCCTCCCTTGCATAATCCAGTTGTCACATTTGTACACTTTGTATAGATTTTTAGTGTCAACATATCTATGCCCATGTGAAACCAACTCGTCCAATGAAATAACATTAGCTCCAACAGTAGGCAAATACCTCAAATTAAAAATTGTTTTGACATTACCATTGTGGAGCTTCAAGCGAACTCTTCTAATACCTTCAATTCGCTGCTTCATCTTATTTCTCATATTGATATAGCCAAAATCTCCCTTTGTATGCAAAATATCAAATAAAGCTTGATCTTTACATATATGGACATCAATAGCATAATCCATCACCCAATTAGAATTCTCAACATGATTTGTATTTAAAAGAAGTAAATCACCTCCATAAATGACCTCGTTTGCGGAGTTCTCAGACTTACCCTTCAAATTTCTCAGACTTCTCAAGTCTTCTTTAAAAAGTCGACAGTGATTTTGAATGTGACCAAGCTCTCCACAATAATGGCACTCAATAGAGTTGTAATCTCTCGGCCGAATTTTCGATCTTCCACCACGGTCACTCTTCATTTTCCTCCCTCTTTCAGAACCCCCCACAGCTAGTATTTGACTCTCCTTTAAAGCGCCTTCATTTCCCATTATCTTGTCATTCTCCTTCAAAACCGTTATCGTCTCATTAAATTTCAATGTACTTTTTCCAACTAACATTGATTGCACCAACGGCTTGTAGGATTTGGGCAATGAAGCTAACAAGAGCAACGCTTGCTCTTCCTCTTTAATTTTCTTTTCTGCATCAGTCGACATACTAGCTCATGAAACTTGTTAGTATGGTCAATTATATTACCTCATTCCTCCAACTTTAAAGAGTATAGATCCATGTTCATAATTAGACAGTTAGTCAACGTCTTCGTGAAAAATTTACTCTCCAAAGTATCTCACAACCTCTTCGGAGATGTTTTCGTCAACACGGTAACCTTTATTTGCGGGGTGAGTGCCAATCAAATCGTGCTAACAGCCTTTTTTGAGATCATACTCCAATCACCTTCTTTCATACCTTCTGGCTTTACATCTTCCAAGGCAACATCAAGCCCTTACTGCACCAAATAGTTTTGAATTGTGCTTTGCCACATAGTAAAATCACTCTTTCCATCAAAGAGTGGAACCTCATATTTCAAAGTAGTGGACATAGTGCTTAATAACTCTCCAATAAATAAGCACTTCCAACAACCAAATAAATTGAGGCTAAAAAATAAAACCAGGAACTCAAATCAGGCAGAACCGACCTTTCTGGCATAAATCTGGTGTGTTGCCGGAACCTGTTGCGAAAGTGCAACCTGATTGCTAGTGTGCCGTCAACTTATCTCGAAACACCTCTTGCTCCTTCTCTCCTCCCTTCACCAAGACCTCGCTTAAAAATGACCTCGCTCTGATACCACTTGTTGGGAACACAAGAGAAGATAGAGAAAAACAAATAGTAAGACACGAGAATTTAACGTGGTTCGATCTCACAAAAGACCTACATCCACGATCCCAAAATGGGATAATCTACTAAAATATTTATTATTTTTTGCACGGAAAGAATTGTAAAACCCTCATCACAACAACTCAACAAATCTCAATTTCACGTTCTCTAGTTACTAAAGAAAAAAGCCTTATTGTCATGTCTTAAAATAGAACCCAAGGGGGTCAATTTATATGAGTCAATGCCCCACATTTTTATCACACTTCCTATGTGGGACATTGGAAGTTACACAACATATATATATAAACACGAATCTATCAACTATTCAAGAAAAAACAAAAGATACGAGTGAGCTACTGAATTGATAAATTCAAAATTTTGAAAATGTAAACAAACTTACCAGGTGGAGCTCAGACTTGGAGGAGGCGGGCGGTCGAATGGTGGAAGGAGAGGCGGGCAAAGGCAGTGCGACTTTCGTGCAAACTAGACAGGAATGGACGCCGGCGGCAGGACTGCGGGCTTGCAAAGGCAGTGCGACTATCGATTGAGGCGCGCAGTAGAGGAAAACAGTGGTAGTGCATGGTGGAGGAGGATGGCGGCGGTGGTCGTATACTGAGGGATGAGCGAGCTAGTGAGAGAGGAATGGGTCACGGGTTTGAGTGGCGTGCTGAAGTTGTGGGAAAGAATGAGTAAACGAGGGTTTTAGGAATAAGGAATGAAAATTTGAAATATATGAATTAATAATTTTATATATTATTTTACTTTTAATATTTATATATATATGTGATATTTTAAGTAGGAATTTAGGATTATTTTTTAATTGAAATTAAAATTTAGAATTCTTGTTAATTTGAAATTATTTTAAAATTATATTTATTTATATTTAATTCATATGTAAATT